ATTCAAGGTTTTTAATTTTTTAATTTTTTTAAAATTTTCTACATTGTAGAATAATATTGAAGACATCAAAACTATGAAATAACACATATGGAATCATGTAGTAACCAAAAAAGTGTTAAACAAATCAGAGCTCTAGAGGTCCTCTGTGGAGATGGGAGAACTGTCCAGAAGGACAACCATCTCTGCAGCACTCCACCAATCAGGCCTTTATGGTAGAGTGGCCAGACGGAAGCCACTCCTCAGTAAAAGGCACATGACAGCCTGCTTGGAGTTTACCAAAAGGCAACTAAAGACTCTCAGACCATGATGAACAAGATTCTCTGGTCTGATGAAACCAAGATTGAACTCTTTGGCCTGAATGCCAAGCGTCACGTCTGGAGGAAACCTGGCACCATCCCTACGGTGAAGTATGGTGGTGGCAGCATCATGCTGTGAGGATGTTCTTCAGTGGCAGGGACTGGGAGATTAGTCAGTATTGAGGCAAAGATGAATGGAGCAAAGTACAGAGAGATCCTTGATGAAAACCTGCTCCAGAGCGCTCAGAACCTCAGACTGGGGCGAAGGTTCACCTTCCAACAGCACAATGACCCTAAGCACACAGCCAAGACAACGCAGGAGTGGCTTCGGGACAAGTTTCTGAATGTCCTTGAGTGGCCCAGCCAGAGCCCAGAGTTGAACCCGATCGAACATCTCTGGATAGACCTGAAAATAGCTGTGCAGCAACGCTCCCCATCCAACCTGACAGAGCTTGAGAGGATATGCAGAGAAGAATGGGAGAAACTCCACAAATACAGGTGTTTCAAGCTTGTAGTGTCATACCCAGGAAGACTCAATGCTGTAATCGCTGCCAAATTGTGCTTAAAAAAAGTACTGAGTAAAGGGTCTGAATACTTATGTAAATGTAATATTTCAGTATATATTTTTTTATTATTAGCAAAAATGTCTAAAAACGTGTTTTTCGTTTGTCATTATGGGGTATTGTGTGTAGATTGATGAGGATTATTTATTTATTTTAATTCATTTTAGAATAAGGCTGTAACGTAACAAAATGTGAAAAAGTCAAAGGGTCTGAATACTTTCCGAAGGCACTGCGTCTCCAGGACCAGACTTTTAGATAACAGCTCAGTTGGTAGAGCTTGCAACGCCAGGGTTGTGGGTTCGATTCCCACGGGGGGCCAGTATGAAAAAAAAAGAAAAAGGTATGCACTCACTAACTGTAAGTCGCTCTGGATAAGAGCGTCTGCTAAATGACTAAAATGTCAAATGTAAAATGAGATAGCCACACTGTAACCCGGAGCAGGGCTCTCTGTCTCCAGCCTCCCATCTTCACCTTATCCTTCCCTGTCAGGGGTATGGTAGCTGGCACGGAGCACCGCCGATACACTCCCTGCACCTCTTCCACAGGAGGATTCACACAAAGCTAATCACCACCACGAAGACTGTGAACACTCGCTTCTCTGTTGGCCTGGGGAACAGAAAGATCCATAGAATAATCTTCCTCTAGAACGTGAAATGAATCAATATGCTTGTAACAACAATGCATTGTAACATTAGCGACAAAGTAATGGACTGAACAATACCAAATGTTTTGCTGGCTTTGGGATACTTAGGTCCCAGAGTTTAGGGGGTAGATCAGCTTTAATATTGCAGATTGATTGTAGCTTCCATCAATGTAATTGTCTGCATCATTTCCAATCCAGTTTTTGCAGGTTTTTGTTCAAGCCCAGTACTAATACATGATTAGATGCATCTAATCAAGGCACTGATGATTAGTTGATCAGTTGTGTGTTAGTACTGGTCTGGAACAAAAGGCCATGGAAAGCCTACGGAAATTCTGTCATGTTGTGTAACCATTCTGTAATGTCTGTGTCACCATTCTGTCATGTCCGTGCAACCATTCTGTCTTGTCCGTGATACCATTCTGTCATGTCTGTGATACCATTCTGTCATGTCCGTGATACCATTCTGTCATGTCCGTGATACCATTCTGTCATGTCTATGATACCATTCTGTCATGTCTGTGATACCATTCTGTCGTGTCTGTGATACCATTCTGTCATGTCTGTGATACCATTCTGTCATGTCTGTGATACCATTCTGTCATGTCCTTGAAACCATTCTGTCATGTCTATGATACCATTCTGTCATGTCTGTGATACCATTCTGTCGTGTCTGTGATACCATTCTGTCATGTCTGTGATACCATTCTGTCGTGTCTGTGATACCATTCTGTCATGTCTGTGATACCATTCTGTCATGTCTGTGATACCATTCTGTCATGTCCTTGAAACCATTCTGTCATGTCTATGATACCATTCTGTCATGTCTGTGATACCATTCTGTCATATCTGTGTCACCATTCTGTCATGTCCGTGCAACCATTCTGTCATGTCCGAGTCTGATAGTCCAAAATGTGACATTTTAGTCATTAATTATTAGAGAATTACATGTTATGTTATTTGTGGTCTTCTTCAGTTATTGATATGCTCTCTGATACCATTCTGTCATGTCTTTGATACCATGTGTAATATAATTTCAAGCCTAATGATTGTTCTCTGCTTGTAATTTAAAATAAAACGTTTTATTATGACCTACTGTATGAACTATTTTATTTATTTTCTATAAATATACATGTTTTTTTTTCTTCTCCATTCCAGCTAAAATATCATAATGATTTTCCACTTTAATTAAAGTGGACTTGGTTTCTATTGAACACAACAGATTATAGTAAATCAGATCAGATCCAAAGCCTCTTATTCATTCCAGCAACCTTTACATGCAGTATACTACCGCCACAGGAGATGCTCCAATTGAATTGAGTGGTAAGCTCTTTACATAATGTAAAATGGATCACATATTTTTATGAAACAATCTCACAGACATTTGATCATCATACGTGATGTAAAACTTTGAATGAAGCTTGTTCAAGAGCCCCTCAAAAAAAAAAAAAAAATGTAACGTGGACCCTTTAATGTAACACAATTATTTCCTTGTGCACGTAACATGCAACATACAAATACCTAATGAGAGCAAAGGTGTTTTTGCAATGAAAGAAAACTGCAAAATGACACACCTTGATAATTGAAAGAATGAAACAATAGTTGAATCTACAAGTGGGGCATAGTAGTAGGACAGGAGTGGTCAGTAAGCGGGCGGTGACAGACTGTCCTCTCTAGATTAAACGACCGCTCCTAAATGACCGGCCCAGTCCATGAAGTCTATCACGGTCACATCCGCCCAAGCACCGTCAGACTAGGCTAGCAGTACTACCCCGTACAGTGATAGGTGCCACCTTCTCTAGATGAATGAACTGATTCTGAGTCAGTCTAGCTAAGAGCGTCTGTCTGCTGAATGACTCAAATGTAAATGTGTACGTTAATGGGCGTGAACACCGCCGTGGGAGGCTGGGTGTATCAACAAGGCAGTTTGTTGAGTATCTAAAAAAAAAAAATATCAATCACCAAACACTAGTTGTCACCATATCAGTTCTCTGTGGGACTGCAGGGCCCTATGTCCACATCCTGGTACCTGCCGTACCATGGCTCCAGCTCTCCTGGAAGATTAAGGATCAGATTTCCTGTTTGGAATCACGTTTATCTCGGAATCTGTGGCAGGAGGGTGTCTAGGCAGACATAGGGTGGTACCAAACCACACTCACCTGGGTGGGAACACTTAGTCACCATGACAACACTCACCTGCGTGGGCCTTCGGTGGTACCAAACTACACCCACCTGCGTTGGGCTTTGGGTGGTAACAAACCACACTCACCTGCGTTGGGCTTTGGGTGGTACCAAACCACACTCACCTGCGTGGGAACACTTAGTCACCATGACAACTCCAATGTTGATAGTGCATTTGATTTTAACAGGGGAATTGCATCACTAACTGGCTAGTGACAAAAAAGCTGAACTGATTCCAAAAGCTTGCAGACCACACCTCCGGAGCGTGGCTAAAGCACCCATGTCCAGACCTATACCAGCCCTTGTTCAGCCCTGGCATTCAACAGTCAAATCAGACTGAAGCAAAGTTGAACGGAGAGGCAGTCGAGCTAAGATGGAGGGAACATCAGCCCAGTGATCTGAAACAACTGTAAGTAGGGCTAATAATCAATAAGTAATATTGATACGAGTTGCTTTTGTGTTTGACTTCCAATGCCTCAAAATGACGTGTATTCAGAAACAAGCAAACTATCATATACTTGTTTTTGAATAGCATTCCACGTTGTTTCCAGGTCATTTCAACCAAAACAATCAATGTGATGACGTTATATCAACGTGGAAAACTGATTGGATTTGCAAAAAAGTAATCAACATAAAGGCATTTCATTTTTTAACCTGAATCCAATGACATGCTGACATTTTTGTTGTTGATTTCACATTGACAACTCAACCAAATGTAAATCAAAACTAGATGTTGAACTGTGATTTGTGAGCATTAGACTCTTGAAGGAAGGCAAAGAGTGTTTTGATCAAATATTAAAGCAGCCTTTCTTCAACAAAAAAAAATCCTGCCTTTAAGCAAACAGCTTCAGAAGGTGAAGAGCACGTCGCTGGGAGATTTGGATGAAAAGCTTGATCAGTCTAAATAAAAGGCTGTGAACAGATCTTTCAAAAGAAAAATACTTTAACAAAGAATAAACGATGAAGAACAAATGTATTTCCATTTGGCATTGAAGAGTTGTAAATGTATTATATGTCATTCAGCTGGTAGACTTTCCTGTTGTTTACTTTCCTGTTGTTTGCAGCTTTATCCAGAAAGCTTTTTTACTTATCAATCTGTAGTCATCCAGTAGGGCAGGTGATGGCGATTGCCAGTGTTAGGTCTGGATCTTGATTTTAGGTAGTTCCCTTTCCTTGGATGGACTGACCCTGGTTGTTCATATTAACCTGTCACTTTCTCTTCTTCCTCCAGCTTTCCATTAAAGCCCATAAAACAGAAGCTCATCCACTCAGCTCAGCAAGGTGAATGTTCAACGGTGAAAGAAGGGATCCAATCTCACCATGGACTGGAAGACGTTAGAGGCCCTGCTTAGCGGGGTCAATAAATATTCCACCGCTTTCGGACGCATCTGGCTCTCCGTGGTCTTCGTGTTTCGCGTCATGGTCTTCGTCGTGGCCGCAGAACGCGTCTGGATAGACGATCAGAAAGACTTTGACTGTAACACCCGCCAACCCGGCTGCGCCAACGCCTGTTACGACCACTTCTTCCCCATCTCCCACACCCGGCTCTGGGCACTCCAGCTCATCTTCGTCACCTGTCCCGCCTTCATGGTCGTGATGCACGTGGCGTACCGCGAGGAACGCGAGCGCAAGTACCGCATTAGACACGGTGAGAACGCCCATCTCTACGACAACACAGGACAGAAGCACGGAGGACTCTGGTGGACATATCTCCTCAGCCTCTTCTTCAAGACGACCATCGAGGTGGCGTTCCTCTACCTCCTGCATCTCATCTACAACAACTTTGACCTGCCGCGACGCGTCAGGTGCGACCTCTGGCCTTGCCCTAACCAGGTGGATTGCTACATCGGCCGGCCCACAGAGAAGAGGGTGTTTACCTACTTCATGGTGGGAGCGTCGGCTGTGTGTTTAGTGCTCAACGTGTGTGAGATCTTTTACCTGATAGCCATCCGGGTGCTGAGGATCAGCCACCGGGGAAGCCTCCATACTTCCCCCCTGAAGAGCTGCGATGGGTGTCAGGCCCCAGAGGCAACAGCAGACTACCAGAAGTACAACGAGGCCAATTTGGCCATGGAGAAGAAGAGAACATCTATCTTTTGAGTCATTTTTAATTTTTTAGTCATTTTATCAGACGCTCTTATCCAGAGCAATTAGGGTTAAGTGCCTTGCTCAAGGGCACATCGGCAGATTTTTCACCTAGTCGGCTCGGGGATTAGAACCAGCGACCTTTCGGTTACTGGCACAACGCTCTTAACCACTAAGCTACCTGCCGCCCACAAGTCAGACATTACACTTTTTACAAGGGACAATCAAAGTCTTATTAGACGTAAATCTTTATTGACTAAATGTTGTGAACTGAATTTGACTGTATGATCAATGTATTTTAAATGTAATTGTTTTATCAGTATAATTTTGATCTGGACACTCCCCTGCAAGGGTGTAAGAAGATATGAGAAAATAAGTTGTATTATCTCAAAGAGAAATCGTCCCTCAGTTCTTCAAAACATTTAACCCAGATAAAAATAATCCTGTGTTGTGTTAAATCCCCCTTCAGATCTGGTCCCTCCTTGTTTTTGGATGCAACTTTATGAGAAAACTAATGCTCAGCGATTAGTGCATTATGAGGTTGGTTCCGTTTCGGTTTCGATTATTACAAATAATCACATTTTTCTATTTCGGTTTCTATTATATTTTTTAAATACATTAAATACATTATGAAATAAAGCTTTTTTATGGCAATTCCAAAGCAAACAATAGAGAGCATTCAATTGCCAAAACATTGAAAATATTCCCTTGTCGCTGTCAGGTCCACATTGGGTAGACATCAATAGAAAATTACTAAGAAATAATAAAATATTTCAGTTGTTTATACTTTGTTTATATTTGATTACTTTATTATTTTTCATTCCTTTGTGTCATCACCTCAACTCTGCTCAGGCAGAAGCAGTCTGCCAGCCAAACCTAACGTTAAAAACACTACATGACCAAAAGTATGTGGACACCTGCTCATCCAACATCTCATTCCAAAATCATGGGCTATAACAGCCTCCACTCTTCTTGGAAGGCTTTCCACTAGATGTTGGAACATTGCTGCTGGGACTTGCTTTCCATTCAGCCACAAGAGCATTAGTGAGGTCGGACACTGTTGGGCGTTCCAATTCATCCCAAAGGTGTTTGATGCGGTTGAGGTCAGGGCTCTGTGCAGGCCAGTCAAGATCTTCAACACCGATCTCGAAAAAACAATTTCCGTATGGACCTCACTTTGTGCACGGGGGCATTTTCATGCTGAAACAGGAAAGGGCCTTCCCCAAACAGTTGCCACAAAGTTGAAAGCACAGAATCGTCTAGAATGTCATTGTATTTCCCTTCACTGGAACTAAGGGGCCTAGCCCAAACTATGAATAACAGCCCCAGACCATTATTCGTCCTCCACCAAACTTTACAGTTGGCACTATGCATTGGGGCAGGTAGCCCAGATTCGTCCGTCGGACTACCAGATGGTAAAGCGTGATTTATCACTCCAGATAACGTGTTTCCACTGCTCCAGAGTCCAATGGCGGCCAGCTTTACACCACTCCAGCTGGCTGCTCTGCCATGGAAACCCAATTCATGAAGCTCCCGACAACAGTTGTTGTGCTGACGTTGCTTCCAGAGGCAGTTTGGAACTCGGTAGTGAGTGTTGCAACCGAGGACAGATCATTTTTACGCGCTTCAGCACTCGGTGGTCCCTTTTTTGTGAGCTTGTGTGGCCTACCGCTTGTAGGCTCCTAGATGTTTCCACTTCACAATAACAGCACTTACAGTTGACCGGGGGCAGCTCTAGCAGGGCAGAAATGTTCACGAACTGACTTGTTGGAAAGGTGGCATCCTATGACGGTGCCACGTTGAAAGTCAATGAGCTCTTCAGTAAGGCCATTCTACTGCCAATGTTTGTCTTTGGATGTGGCATGGCTGTGTGCTCGATTTTATACACCTGTCAGCAACGGGTGTGGCTGAAATAGCAGAATCCACTAATATGAAGGGGTGTCCACATACCTTTGTATAGTACCATATACTTACATATATAGTCTACATGCTTCCCATACTGTACTGTCTTTAGCTAGCTATGCTGCAGAGCTGTCTGACGAAATCATTTTACTACTGTAGTTCTTCCAAGTAGATAAGGCATACTTTCACGAACTGTCTCTGTCCCTCTCTTAGCTGTTGTGTACATTCCTCTCTCATGCGGTATATGTGTATCTAACCCAACATAACAGGCGTAAAAGTGTATCTGTCCAGAGATCTGTATATAATGACGAGATGTCTCCGCCCTAACAAATGGAAATCATTGTCCCAAAGGAGGGAATGCAGGCGAAAACTTTAGGTCCATAATAAGCCGATATAAACGCGTTAGGCTTATTTTGGACAGCTTTTTGCTAGAGTGAATCCTCTCGCTTTGCATCTTCCTCTCTGATCCATCTCAGTCCGAAATGGATAAAAACTAGCGCAATGGATTATCGGATTGTAGTTAATTACCACATTTCTGAGCTGAACTTGGTTCAATATTTGCTTCATGAAAAACTACAACTCCCTTCAGCCCATCGTCCCAAAGTTATTGACTTGATTTCTGCGGTGAATTATTTGATTTATCTCTAGAGAAACGGCACGTTGGTCTCACAAAATAACCGAACTGAATGGAATTCAAGTAATTGAACCGAAGTCGGTCAATTAGTTGTTTAATAACAGAAAAAAAATACGAAATGTCATTTAATAGCTCAGAGAAAAATGAGCAAAATCTCTAACATACTTCACCATATGCTAAATTTGACATTTGGGGACATTAGAGTGAAATATTGTCTTTCTAAAATGAGGTGGAATCAGGCTTGAGACAACACAGGATCGTCTTGATTTTGATTAAATGTTGGGCCCTGTAGTTTTTAAATATCTATATATTTTTTTACCCTCTTTCTATTTTTATATTTATTTGATCATCAAATAACACATTGCCTTTGGTTTAACCTTTTAGATTTTCAGTTCATCATATTTTATCGAGTTATTTCTTTGTTTAGTCACAGTATGTTGAACCAGGCCAAAGGTCAGATTTGTATTCTAATCTTGTTATTGAGTGATCTCTCCACCTAGAGGCGCCAAAGCACCATCATATATCTCCTTTCCTTTGAGTACCTTTTTTTGCAGATTAGTTCAACAACTTTAACTTAGTTTCAACAGCACTCAATGTCTGCATTACGGCTCTAGTTTTCGTAATTTGTTTGCCAAAGTATTAAGATTACATTAATGTTGTTTAAAAAATAAAAGAGAAAATCTAAACACGGAGTCACGAGTCTTTAATTTCCAGAAAGATCCGGCCATTTTCTTGTAAATAGATGCACCTGTGTGGTCGGGACGGACTGACACAAACATAAGAGGGCTCGTTACATCTGGCAGTCCGCAGCTGTTTCCCACATGTGCCTCTGCAGCCGCCTGTTGCGTAAGAACAGCAGCAAAGCGCGACATGTAAACACAACAATTACATTTTAGTTATTTAGCAGACGCTCTTATCCAGAGCGACTTACAGTTAGTGAATACATATTTTTTTATACTGCCCCCCCCCCCCGTGGGAATCGAACCCACAACCCTGGCGTTGCAAACGCCATGCTCTATCAACTGAGCTACATCCCTGCCGGCCATTCCCTCCCCTACCCTGGACGACGCTGGGCCAATTGTGCGCCGCCCCATGAGTCTCCCGGTCGCGGCCGGCTGCGACAGAGCCTGGATTCGAACCAGGATCTCTAGTGGCACAATTAGGATTACCCTAGATTAAAGTGGCAAAATAACCCCAGAGCCATTTTCTTAAATGTTTTTCACCAATATGTTTTCGTATAGAACCAACCCAGGATAGCCCAGTCGACCTCACGTATAGTCATTGACATAATGTAAAAGGAAAAGTGTTAATCATTTCACATTCTTTAGATTAAGCAAACCAGACAAACCATTTTCTTGTTTTTTTATTTATTTACGGATAGTCAGGTGCACACTCCAACACTCGACATAATTTACAAATGAAGCATTTGTGTTTAGTGAGTCCGCCAGATCAGAGGCAGTAGGGATGACCAGGCATGTTGTCTTGACAAGTGCGTGACTTGGACCATTTTCTTGTTCTGCTATGCATTCAAAATGTAACGAGTACTTTTGGGTGTCAGGGAAAATGTATGGAGTAAAAAGTACATTATTTTCTTAAGGAATGTAGTGAAGTAAAATTAGTCAAAAATATAAATAGTCAAATACAGATACCCCCAAAAAACTACTTAAGTAGTACTTTAAAGTATTTTTGCTTAAGTACTTTACACCGCTGTATATCTCAGATATGACACTTCAGAACAAACTTCCTTTGATTTAGTTTTTTGACTATCTGTTTATCCATGTACGAAGCTGTTATTCAATGTGTTTCTATGGGCTAATACCAGTAAGGTCAAATTGAAGGTTTTATCAAATAATTGTTTTATATATATATTGTTTTATATACCTAAAGGGGTCCTCCTAAAATTCAAAATCAAAATAGCTAAATGATCCTTGGTATCACCATCTTAAAACAATTCCACATGTTAGCGTAGTAGAGCCCTCCCCAAGTCTCCAACAGGTACAGATCGCCCTCCTATGAGTGGCTCAATCAATTCTGAAAGTACCTGCATTTTTGGTATGTTCCATCGCAAACTGTCATAAACATCAAAAGCTCCCGGCTACTGTTCAATCAAAGCGACACTGACATTATACCAACCCCTGGTTAGCCACTATTGGCTTAAAAAGCCAAACCTAACACAATATCTGCCAATTAATGTCCAGCCATACTGCTCCTGTCTGTCTATCTGTCACTCTATATGTAGCCAGTTAGCAATGCTAATGATAACCGTCTTGTGGGCAGACAGAAAGCCTTTAGCCAAAAACCTTCTCAATTAAATGTTAACTGCAAGGTAGGCTTACCTGACAGAACTACAGTACCAGTCAAATGTTTTGGACACACCTACTCATTCAAGGGTTTTTCTTTATTTTATTTTTTTACAATTTTCTACATTGTAGAAATAATAGTGAAGACATCAAAACTATGAAATAACACATATGGAATC